TATTTAAAATGAGTATAACATTAACAGTGTACAGTTCAGAACCATGTAACCTTATATTCTAGTACATATTTGTACACTTATTTAATTCATGCAGTTTGTTAAGGGATACAGTCTTTTATCTTACTAACTAATAGTTAGAAAGATAGTTTGCCCCAAAAATGGCCCAAGTGCAACAATCGAGCAATAACATTGTGTGACATTGAATTTAAATGAGCATAAATTTTACATTGTACTGTCTAGAGCCATGAAACTTTTACTTCAAAAACAACTTTTGTGCTTATTTCAGTCATGCACTCTGGTGGTAAGGGACACAATGTTTAATTATTAAGACATTGGGCCCCCAAAAGTGGCTCTTTTGCAAGAATGGTGAAAAGCACTTATTTCACAATTCTGGGGTCGGTACAATATCTTACTAATTAAAGACTGTGTTCCTTACCAGACTACGTGACTGAAATAAGCACAAAAGTTTTTCTAGAATTAAAGGTTAAAGGTTTTATGGCTATATAGGCAGTAGTACACTGATAATATTGTGCTCATATTTAAAATATATGTTACTATGCAATTCTTGCACTTGAGCCATTTTTTTGTGCAAAATATCATACTATCTAACCACTCTGTCCCTTAACAGACGTCATGAATTAAATAAGCATACAAATGTGTACTAGAATATAGGTTTCATGGTTCTGAACAGTACACTGTTAATGTTATGCTTATTGGAAATATATAAATATATAGTCGCACAATGTTATTGCGCAATTTTAGCACTTGGGCCATTTTTAAGGCAAAATATCTTACTAATTAAACATTGCATCCCATTAACAGACTGCATACCTGAAATCAGCACAAAAAGTTGTCCTAGAATGGAAGGGTTTCATGGCTGTCTAGACAGTACATGGATAATATCATGCTCATTTGAAATCAATAATATAGTAAACACAATTTTATTGCACAATCTTGCACTTGGGCAATTTTTGGGGCAAAATATCTTACTAATTAAACAATTTATCCCTTTAACAGACTGCATAACTGAAATCAACACAAAAAGTTGTCCTAGAATAAAAGGTTTCACGGCTTTAGACAGTACACGGATAATATTATGCTCATTTGAAATCAACAGTAAATACAATTTTATTGCGCAATTCTTGCACTTGGGCCATTTTTGGGGGTACATATCTTACTAATTAAACACTATATCCCTTAACGAACTGCATAACTGAAATAAGCACATAAAGTTGTTGTAGAATTATAAGTTTCAAGGGTCTATGCAGATTATTTTTAATATTATCGTTATTTAAAAATTTATTTTATCACATTTACGCACTGATACGGTCACAAATTGAAAAATATACCCCTTTTCAAATCACTTTTTAAACATGAAAGGATAAAGACACCAAGCTGATATTTGGAACATCTGATCATCATATATGAATCAATTAATGGTGCAAGTTTTAACAACAAGCATACTTGCCCACAGGGTCAAAGGTCACCATGAAAATGAGGCATTTCTGTGCATTTTTTGTCCCGAATGACCTTTTGACCTACGATTGCCCCCTAAAATGATAAATTAAAAATCCGGAATTTTTTGTGGTGAAACTTTTTCAACTACATATTAATAATTTGGTGCATAAGACCCATTTAATAACTGATTTGGGTATTTTAATGGGGTCTAAAAATGGAAGAAAAATTATGCAACCAAATAAGTTAGGGTCTTTACGAACCAATATTTTCGTAACGGGGTCCGGTATACCAAAAGTCATGTTATATTCCTGTTCTACAGCCAAAAGTTAGTCTAGATATCAATTTTCAGTTAATTATCTTTATTCTATTTGAAGATATGGCTAATTGAAAATGCAACTTTACAAATATGTCATAATTGATAGCTAAAAAGGGGTATGACCCTAAAATTTCAAATGGCCGTAACTTCTAAACGACTTGGAATTGGCAAGTCAAATTTTGGGTTTGTTCGTCAGACATGTTGGTGTACATTATATCCGAGTTTCAAGAAAATCTGAGACGGTACCCAGCCATCCCATTTGTTGAGTTGGCACGGAATGACCCAATATTACTATAGTATAATATATAGGCATTTTAATTATATACTTATTGACCTATGTATTTTTTATCTTATATATATATATTTATATATGCCAATTTAATTGTTTACTATTGTTTTGCCTATGCCATTTTATTTTGATCACATCATCACCTGTATATATATTTATTTAATTTTTTTTTTTTTTTTTTTTTTTTTTTTTTTTTTTTTTTTTTTTTTTTTTTTTTTTTTTTTTGGTTCATATTAACTATAATATTCTTTCATTTATTTTCATCTTTTTTATTTTGCTTTAGGTTTATTTTCTTACGACATTATTGTATTGTGTCTTTGGGGCTTTTTCTGCGTTGCGGGCCTATCACTTTGCCGTTGTATTGTTTTCTTCTTTGCTTTGTTCCTTCTCCCTACCTGTTTGACTTTGATTTTATATTATCTCCCTGCCTATGCAGCTAGATAGGAAACTAAAGCGACGTTAAGGCGAAATCATAGACAAAAGAGTTTCCCCCTAAGAGCCGAATGAATTGTTTCCGCTTCTTCATAATTTAAGTGTACATATTTTTTTTGCAATAATAAATTAAAAGTATCAAGTAAGTGAATTTTAAATAGTGAGACACAGGTCATGCTACGTCGTTTCCAACACCGTAAATAGTACCAAAAATGTATCCATGGTTTAAAATTTGGCGCACCACCCTTTAAACTTTGTGGACAACTTTTTCTGAAATTCTGCCACTCTTTAAAAAATCCTGGGAGGGCAGAGTATAGTTAAGTATGGCAATGATTATTCAAAAATTTTGTGTTGTGTCGAAACTCTAGGACTAGCTTTTTACAAAGGAGCCATTTTTCTTTAATACATGTGATACCCTGAAGCATGGGGTTCAGCCCTGTGGTTACATTTTACCAAAGTGGATTGAGTGATGAACAATGGTCAACAGTTTATCTTACACTTAGGTATAGTTGAACTTGCCTACTGTAAGTCGAATCCAAAATGGCATTGAAAAATTGTTCGACTTCAATAAAATTTGACCCAACAATTGGCATGTAAAATAACATCAACTTAGATAAGTTTAAATGTATTAAGCCCTGTCCAGACTATCAAACTTTATTTTACAAAAATACCGTTGTCTGCCCGTAGTCATTATGTTAAACTTGCCCATGTCATCTTTCTCCTAACTCTTAAACTCTGCCTTTAATTAATTAAAGATCAGTGAGCCAAGCGGTTAAGGCAGGAGCGCCGCAACCTACAGCCATAATAAAGACATAAACCGTAGGCCCAGTGTTCACAATTTGGCTTGTGTCATGCACTTACAAAAAAGTAAGGGGGTTACCCTGTACTGGTCCGTACAGTTGTGGAGAGACGAGAGTAGCTTGTACCGATTTACCGGGTACCCGGTGAAGAGATCCTTAGGGGAGAAGCAAGTTACTGTACGAGCTACTGTAGTCCACACCTCAAGTGCTTTGATACTTCTCAAAAGCACATGGACTACTAAACATTGATTTATGCTGATTTAATGATTTAATTTTTGCTATTTTGCAGCATTGAACAAGTTATAAGATTTGAAGAAAAAATCTGTTTTGTTACTAAATTTTATCATTTGGGGCTATTTTTACCTACCTGTCATTTAGGGCCTTTTTTCAGGGGACAGTTTTTCCAGTGCTTTTTTTTGCATACATCTGTGCTATATAATAACTACAATGGTCATGTGATATGACCATGTCCATATTTAGGCATGTCGCGTGTTTTTTGTCAAGAAAAAAGTTTGATGTCCGGACACAGCTTCAAAACAATCCTGACCAACCTTATTGCTTAGGCCATACAATATACGCTTTGGTTTAAAGGCTGTCATTTTTTTCAATCTCAGCAACTAGGAAAGAACTTGAGAATAGTGAAAAGCGTTTGAATGAAGTATCTGGAAAATTGCTGGAAAGAAACAGGCAGTACCAGAAATTACAGGTGGGATAAATGTTGAGATCTTTTAAAATATATATTGGAACATGTTTGAGAATCATTATGAAACTCTGGAGAATAATTTGAATATATAAATGTTATAATTTTACAATATTTGAACACATTTTAAATTGGAAGTTTTATGGATTTTTAAATGAAATGTTATGCAAATATTAACTGCTCATGAGGGGAATGGGGAAATTTATTGCTGTAGATTTCACTGATATCTGAATCTAGAGCAGTTGTTTTATGTACCTCATACATAGATTCTATGAGACCGAAAAAAGTAATGAAAAGAATACAACACGTTATATTTTCAATGCGGATTTTTTGGGCCCAGTACGGACTCTAAACGTATTCATTTTCTTTTAGTTTTAAGGCGTATGCGGATTTTATAAGTATAAGGCTCAGGGACGTATCAGTGAAGGGGAGGGGGGTGGAGTCATGGCCCCCCCCCCTCCTCTTTTTGGTAGCCAATACAAATTCTTTCCTGGGATCACTGAAAATCTTAAATCCATAAATCCCAGGCCAGGTCTTTTTAAGGTACAGAAATATGTGATCTTTTATGGTTCAGTTTGGTTTTTATCTTTTTGCAAGCTTTTATGAAATTTTGTTTATAATAATGTGATGATGACAATGCCATCGGGGTGGGGGGACCAGAGCCCCCGTCAACAACGGCGGAGGAATGTTTAACGGCGGAGGAATGTTTTTGAAGGGGGGGCCATTTCATAAGGTCCAGTATGCAAGCGAAGCCAGCATCTAGGCTGGGACCAGGGGGGGGGGGGTGGCACGCCAAGAAGCTACAGTTACTTAATGAAGTTTGGTGAATTTTATTAGTTATTTTAGGCATCAAGCAACTGTACAGTGGTGGATGCAGGAGTTTGAAATATAGGGGAGCCCAAAGGAAATTTGTGATTATGGCACGTACTGTACCTCTAACCGGAAATTGAACTTCCTGACATAGAATCTACCACTGGGTACTTTTGCAGATGGAAGATCTATACCACCTCAGCATGCTTGGCTGAGGTAAGAAAATTTGTGATTATGGCACCTCTAGATGGCCAGAAATTGCACTCCCAGACAAATTTGAATATAATTTTCTTCATATCTCCATTAAAAAAAATTTTGACAAATTTAGGCTCCACCCCCTTGAATCCGCCACTGATTTGCGAACAAAGTCTAAGTTGAGATTGCTTCCACTCACAGAATTATTTATCATGAGGGGTATCCTTGATATGGGTATTCCCTGACGAAACTCTTACTTTTCCCCGATGGAACAATTACACTTTTACCCTTTTACAGTAGACCGGAAATAATACTCCAAATGTGGCGGGTCTAGGAAGTCAAAATAAAGGGAACCCAGGGAGGGTCTTGTGTACAATTTTGTCAGTTTTCTCCATTTTTTTTTTTTTAATTTTGAAAAAAATTAGAAGGTTGGGGCCTGTGCTGACTGGGGGCCTGTGCTACCTGGGCTCCCCCTTGAATCCACCATTGTTCAATATAACACTTGACAGCCTTAGTATCATTTTGTTTTACAAATGACTAATGCCAAATGTCAAGTGAAATATTTTTTTTATTCGAAAAATTTTTGTTATTCAAAACAGCTCATACAACCTTAACACATTAACTACAGTGTACTGTAAATTCTGTAGTTAACATTCAGACAACTTTATTTTTAAAAATGGCCTAATTAAGTATCTTATTGTTTCCATTAAATTAGATGGAGTTTAAATGTGGTTATATTATGCTAGTTTGAAGGTATACTGTAAGCTTTTAAATCAGTTTGCACTTACTGTACAGTGGCGTATCTAGGTTATGAGGGGCCCTGGTTCAAGAGTACACTTGGGGGCCCTTGACGCAAGCAAATTTACTAACCATGTCAACTAAGATGTGTACCACCGATGAGTTAGTTTAGGAGCAGGGGTCCCGGCGATTTGTTATACTATTTCCACTTAAATCTGTTGTTTTTTTTAATTTTTAGAAGAAACCAGCTATAGGACTGACCATCATAATAAGCATTTCTACTTCTTATGACCAAAAGAAGAGCACATTTGATATTTTTTGAATTGGTGTTTTTTATTTATCCTATTAACCATTGAACAATGTCAATTATATTGTACAGGCCCTATTAGTTTAAAATGAAATACCTGACATCTTTAGACTTATGTATGACCATGATCACATAAAACATCGGATACATGGCAGCCAAAAACCTAGTAAATATCGTTCACTTAGAAACAAATGCACGAGTAAAATGAGAAAATCCCAATCAGATTATTTTTCATCAGTTAAAAACAAATATTATAAACATGACCCCAAATGACTGTGGGATGAAATAAATAAACTTAAGGGAAAAAACAAAAATTCAAACAATATTCATCCAATCCTGATTGTGAAAATGTTAGTGATTATTCTAGCAATAGCAACAGAAATATCGAACTCAATTGAAGAAGTCTAAACAGAATGGAAAAACAGTACCACATATTGTTCAGTGCAACGAACATCACAAATTCTTTTATCCTCTGGTAATGCTGCTATGTTCACCACTATACCAACATCTGTGTCTGTAAAAAATTCTAGAATGTCTTTACTTTAGTATGCACCCATGGAAAACTGTGATCTTGACAGAACTCTTTCCACTTGGAAATATAAATATTGTTTCTTTGTTGAATTTCTCCATGATAACCCAATGATGCCCATGTCCTCTTTGTTAACCCATGCAGATCCAATGTGCATGCCAAGTCTGCAACAAAGAAGATCAAGATTAGTGAGAGGGTGAGGACTGCCAGACACTGGCTGAGTCAAAAGTTTAATACTCCACGGTAATAGCATATAGGCTCTTTGAGCATCATTTCTTCTAGGGTGGTAAACCAGGCTTGCATCGGCCAATTGGGTACTACTATAACCCTTGTGCATTATCTATTTTAATCTTTTGTAGACACTGAGGAATGAGATTGAAAGGTGGAAACGCATAGAAATTGAGGGTACCCCAATCTATTGTGAATGCATCTATAGCCCAGGCACTGGGGTCAGGAAGTTCCTTGCAACATATTTGGGTATTTGAGCATTGAGCTGGTGCCACACCTGGCAGTATGTTTTCAATCCCAGACCTGCTGCAAGAGTCTCTAGATAATTTATTTCATTGCTTTGAGACCTACCTTCGTTACTGTTCCATCTGTCCCCTGTTTGTGATTTACGATCTGTAGCAACCAGCCTTCCCCACTGACATCAGTGCACAATTCCATTGTTATTTTCCCATGATGCATGGTACTTAACTGATATAGCTTTTGTAACCCACCATTTTAAAACTTTTTTTGCTTCTATTCAAAGAACCATGGGTCTATCAAAATGGCCTCTATTGTACTTCAAGCTGGCTGGAAACGTTGGTACTTTGCCAATTACCTTTGCAACCTCTCTTATGGTAGGACCTTTCTTCCCTAGCAAGCCAATGTTTTCCTTTCTTAAATATTTACCTTTGTTATCAGGCAGTGTTACTGCCATAGTAATTGTATTAAGTCTGAATCCTAGAAATTAAATTTCTTGCGTAGGCTCAAGAACTGACTTTGAGGGATGAATAATGAATCCCAGTTTATTCAATAGGGCTGTAGTGGCCATCACAGAGTTGTATGTTGTTTCTTTGCTATCCCCAAGAATTATGGTATCATCTACAGTAGTAAGTATCCAACAACTTTGTGTTTAGACTGTCTAAGCAGGGAGGTTTACACCTCCCTGGTCTAAGTGAGGCAAACACGGGTTTGAGAAGTTTCATAAATAGCCTGGGGACAGAGCTAAGTCCAAGTGATAGGGCTTTGAATTGCCATAATTGTCCCTGCCAAATGAATCGAAGATATTTTCTAAAATCTGTATGAATGGGAACTGTGTAGTAGGCATCTCGGAGGTCGACCAAATCCATAAAGTCTCCTTTAGTAAGGAGAGATGTAGCAGTGGCAGTGTTATCCACTTTAAAATGGTGGTATGTTATATATTAATTTAATTTGGACAAATCCAAAATTAATCTCACCCCTCCATTTTTCTTTGGTGTGAAATAAATTCCCCTTTGACATGAAAGCAACTTTTTGTTTTCTAGACTGACCAAATCTTTATGAATCATAGACATCTGTATGCCATTACTCTTGTTAGTATGGAGGGGTTGTTCTTGTTTTGTGGGGAAACTTATCTGGATCAAATTCCAGTTTATAGCCATGAATGGCTTGAAGTATGAAGGGGTCAGAAGTAATTTGACACCAGTATCTGGAAAATAGCTTCAATCGACCTCCGACGGAGGTCCTACCATAAGAGAGGTTGCAAAGGCTTGCTAGGGAAGAAAGGTCCTACCATAAGAGAGGTTGCAAAGCATTTTACCTCTTGGTTACGTGGGTTAACGCCCACGCTTACTTTTTGTGATGCTGTGATCTTCTGTCTTTGCTCGCTGCCATCGGTGTGAACGTGTGAGCAGCCTGTTGTTTGAACTTGCCTTTCTTGAAGGTCTGACCTGAGTTGGCAAACAGTGATTTGCCCTGATCTTTGCTGGAGTACCAGCCAGCATGTTTCATGGTGCTCTTTGTATAATCAGACTCTCTGCGATAAGGATGGTACAAGTGTACTTGTTTGTCTTGTCTTGGCTGGTTTCTCATCACGCCAGCCGTAGCTTTGCGTTGTTCCTGGAGTTCTTTTACCTGGCGCCAAAGATCATTACCAAACTATTGTTTGTTAACGGGTGAGTAGGCCGGCTCAGAGGATGATAGAGTGGGTTCAGATCTGGCCATATTTGGCATTACAGCAGTGCCAAAGCATCAGACTGTTCCTCTGTCATCGTAGCCAGATCTAGAATCCATGCAAATGCACATAAACCTTTGGTTAAGGATCTTTGTATGTACTGGAATTTCAAATTTTTGTTTCTTGTTGCTGAATGCAAATTCTCCCAAATATGTGGATTTAATTTAGGCGTGTCTAGCAACTCAATTTGCAGGTGTTACGATATTTTTCAGCCGCCTGCTCTAGAGGTT